AATTATTTTTTGGAGGGCAGGCCCCTCGTGGTATAGGTATTCCTTGCTAGGCAAGTGTTCTAGGAACCCATCGGCATCAGCGTACTATCTAGCATGACTGTGAGAATCTGAGTTTGGCTTCAGTGAATTTTGGGGGGGATTCTTTCAACACGTTTGCCCATTTCATGACGAGCAATTTGCAAGCACATTTGCCCAAACTGCGCTGCGTTCGGCAGTTTTTGACCAAAAATAGATCTCGCCAGATCACCAGATTTCGCCTCTATCGACTTTTTTTTGGTTTTCCTGGATGAAAAGTGTCCTCGAAGGGAAACACTTTGCCGATGTGGAGAAGGTGAAACAAAAAGTGCCAGAAGTACTAAAAGGCATCAAAACAGATGAGTTCTAAAACAGTTTTGAGCAGCGGAAAAAGTGTCTTGATAGGTGTGTTGCATCAAATGGAGAGTACTTTGAAGGTGGTTGAAGTTTAAATGAGAAAGAATGAATACAGTTTTTAGAGAAATAAATTCCATTTTTGCAGGGTCTCTCCTCATCAAACTTCTTCATAATCATTGCTGGAGGGGGGTCTATTTGTTTCTTAGTGTCCGTAGCTTTCATCTGTCCTTTATCTGGCAAAGGTTAATTGCTTGTCATTGGAACATTCAACCTTTCTGGGCTTCTTGCCTCTGTGAGTCTGGGCTCAGTTTCCCCTCAGCCTGGCCCAGAATGGAGGCTCATAACCTGTTAAACCAGAGCACTATACACCCCAGGGGCCACTGTGATTATTTCATGGATGGGTCAATGATCCATCCAGTCAGAGCTGCAAAGAGACACTTTAGGGAACTTTGCTGAGCTTGAAAGAGAGGCGCTCAATCTTCCACTTGCTCTCTGAGGATGGAAGTTTTATGCTGCTGGTAGCCTTGTCATCACCAACAAAACAATCAAGCCAACAAACCTGGCTCGTTATGGACTAAATGTCTATGTACCCCTCCCCCCAAATTCATATGCGGAAGCCCTTAACCCCCAATGTGATGGCATTAGGAGCCTATTAGGTTTAGATGAGGTCATGAGGGTGGAGTCCACGATGGGATTAGTGCCCTTATAAGGAACACCAGGGCTCCTCTCTCTCTTTGTCATTCAAACACACGAAAGATGATGTCTACGGACAAGCCAAGAGAAGAGGCTTCAGAAGGAAACCTCCTGGCAGCACCTTGATCTCAGACTTTCCCATCTCTGGAATTGTGAAAAATAAGTATCTATTGTTTGTGCCAACCAATCTATGGTATTTTATTATGGCAGCCTAAGAATGAAACTAAGCCTGAGAATGAAACTAGCCACAGGTAGAGGCTAGAAACAGAGAGAAAATGGACCCTGATAACTTGGTTAGGGCCCTGGATTCAGCCATGCCTGAAGCTGTTCCTAGACTTTTCAGGAGCATAAGTCTACCTTCGTGCTATTTTTGTTTTTTTTTTTAAAGACAATTTCAAGTCTTAGCTTTTCTCTTATTTGCACACATTGACCTTAATGTTACGTTAATGGCTGAAAACACCAACACTTTGACACACGGGCTTTGAAGCAAAAGGTCTCTTTCAGGTCCCAGAGAGGTCCAACATTAAAGTGTGAATTTTCCCTCTCCAGGTATGTATGGTCCTCACCACTGTGCTCTTACATGCCTCTGCCCTGGTGACCACAGGAGCAGCATAGATTTGCATGGAATTAACCCAGGAGGACTGCACGAATACACCTCCCAACTGGTCTAGTCCCAGAATCAAAGGACATGGGGCTGTCTCAAAAGACTAATGGTTTTTTGATTGGCTGCTCACTAGACTGGTAGGCACTGGGCTGGGCTTTCTTATAGGTCACTGCATTTGTTTACAAAACTGCCATCTCAACTAGAGGTTTTATCACCACTTTAAACCAAGCCAACTGAGGCTCAGAGAGGTCCAGTGACTTATCCATGGTCACATCGCTAGTTCCCTGAAGCAGCTATTGTGCTCTATGGTGAGGACATTTATCGGGCAGTCCCAGAATAGCCATCTTGAATTGGTCACTCAACTTCACTCCAGATGCTACCACCCTGTTCCTGCTCACCTCTGTCTCCTCCAGGAGTCTGAACACCGGGTTTCCATGAAAACTGGGCCCCTATCCCCACACGGCTCTTTAATCTTCTAACCACCCTATTCCAATTCCTTTTGTCTCTGACTCTTCCCACTGTGCTCTTGGGTTCATGGACCATCCTCAAATTCTCCCCTCATACAAACTTCTTCCTAAATAATCTTCTCATCTCCTTCCCCCAGCTGAAACCTGGTTGACCCTGCTGACTTCACCTCCCCTGCTGCCTCTCAGGGTGATACTTCATTGTTTAAATCTCCTCCTTTATGGACCTCAGCTCCTTGATGATGAGCAGTTGTCCCCTTTGCGCTCAATTGTCCCTTCCAAACTCTCCTCCACCTTCTCCTGAATACCCACCATGTAGGATGGGTATACGTGCACTGCAGACCCTGCCTTGTAAGAGATTTTCCCATTTCTTCCTCAGCAATTATTTCAGGAACTGGAACTTTTTTTCTTTCTTTCATGTTTTTGTGCCCCATGCTACCCCAGGGAAGTGAGTCTGAGGCACAAGTCATTAGCGAAATCTAGAGTCACCAGCCTTTCTACTATCCTTGAAAATGTTTCTAGACTCTCACAAATGTTGCCACCTTTGTCCAGGCCTCGCCATCTCTCATTAGGGTGACTATGAGAGTACCTAGCTGAGTCCCTGCTTCTCTACACATTCCCTAGAGTTGATTTCCAGCCTGTTGGCTGGAGTGACATTACAATAGTGTTAAGTCTGACCATGTAACTTCAGCTCAAACCTCTCTTGACTCCCATTATAGGGGAGAAGCCAAAGGACATCTGATCACCTTTGAGACCTTTCATGCTCTGGCCTTTCTACTTCCTCTCTGACCTCATTTTCCCCCACTGTCTCCCCTCCCTCTCCACTCTAGTTTCCCTGGCCACCGTGCTTCTCCGAGAGCACCCCAGGCATCTTCCTGCTTCAGAGGCTTTGCACATGCTGTTCCCTCTGCCAGTCATATGATTCTTGCAGACATCTGAAGGGCTTACCCCACCTCCCTGACCACCTAGTGCCTTTCCTGTCCTACATCTCAGCTTTGTCTTTCTCCTTGACCCTTGACATCACGTATCTCGTTGTTTGTTCTCTCTGCTAGGATGTGCTCCAGGAGGAACACGTTTTGTTCAGTGTCATGTCCCCAGAACCTAAAACAGCACTGGTACCAAGGAAGGGCTCAAGGACTGTTTACTGAATGAATAACTAGAGAGAAACAAATTCAAGCCACAAGATACCTACTTTATGATATTTTAAAGTTCAAAGATATTCTATAAAAGGAAGATAAAAAGTGATTTTCTTTTTTTGATTCGGGGTCTTACCCTGTCACCCAGGCTGGAATGCAATGGCATGATTATGGCTCACTGTAGCCTCAACCTCTTGAGCTAAGAAGATCCTTCCATCTCAGTCTCCTAAGTAGGTGGCACCATAGGAGTGCACCACCATACCCAGCTAATTTTTTGATGTTGTATAGAGACAAGGTTTGCCCAGGCTGGTCTCAAACTCCGAGGCTCAAGTAGTCATCCTGTCTTGGTCCCCCAAAGTGCTGGGATTACCAGCATAAGCCGCTACATACACCTAAAAATGTTTTAAAAAGATAATTCAAGGATGCAGGAGAGAGAGAGGGAGAGAGAATGTGAGTGTGAGTGTGTGTTTGCTCAATGATTTTGGTCTGCATCTGCTGACTTGGAGAGACAGGATCAGGTGACAAGGGCAAGCTGTAGAGTGATATGGATGGTATGATTCTGTTTTTACAACAACAGACAAATATGTAACCCAATCCCTGACTATGTGTTTGCATGCATGGGAATGAGGAAAAAGCTGGGAGGGATCCACTCAGTATAGATTTTGACTGAGTAGGACTGGAATGGGGTGAAGGGGAAAGAGGAATGGCTTTGTGTTCATGTTGTTAGGTTCCATCTGTAAGTTCTTAAAAACAGAATCAGCTATATCATGCATTGGGGAAGATATGAGAAAATGGAACTCCCTTCCACAGCTAGTTGGAGTGGAAATTAGGGGAGCTGTATGAAGAACAAACCAGCAGGCCCATGTTGTCATGTGTGTGTATGTTCCATGTGTAGTCTCACTCTCCACGGTCCCACACAGAACTCGCAAAGATGTCGCAGTTCCTGCTGAGGTACAGAATACAACTTTGCTTTCTCACTCAAGCTGGAACATCCTTCTAGAGCCCTCTCGCTCCTCCCGCCCACAGAACCACCCACTGGTGCCGCAGGCTAGAGTCACTCAGGACTCTAAGGACACAAATGGTTACTTCACAATAGATAAATCCAGTGAAAAGCCTGAAGCAGCTGGAAATCTGTCAAACAACATGGTTTTCCTGGGGAGCCCATAAGAGCCACTGATCGTTTTAATCCTGAGATTTGGAAAGAAGGTGGCTGTGAGGGAAGCCCAGGTTCGGCTGGTCCCGCAACGGAAGGTAATTGCTTCTTGCAGTAAAACTCCTTTCAATCCGTGCCTTAGCCAACTCACTTTGGTCATTAGTAAATTAGTTCCTTTCCTTTGTTTCCTAATGAGAGAAGACCCTTTAAAATGTTTATTAAGCCGGCACCTTCAACACGAATACCTAATGTCCTATCTTTTGACACTGGGGATTATGAAGCATCTAAGCCACATCAGTGGGAGACCATTCACAAAATGCCTGGATACTGAAACTCAGCCAGTTCAGTCACTCTCACGCCATCAGGCCTGAGGAAGGTGCTGGAAAAGGAGCCTTGGGTGTGACGCTAACATCCTGGGCAGCTGTGCTTATGAAAGTTGGGGGACTAGGGCCTCTGCTTTCCTGCCAGAGAAAGGAGCCCCTGGGAGGCCCCAGCCTTTTAGCATGAATAGGGAGGGACAGAGGTTGTCTGCGGTGGACGTGCTTGCGACTAGAGCTGCCTGGGTTATGGCCACTTACCTGAGACCAGAACAGGTGCTGAGACTGACCATCGAACTAGGATATCCTCGCATATGTCCATGGTAGTAACAATGACCCTAAAAGAGAGAAAGGAAGAAAGCCAGTTCAGTGATAATCTCTCTTTGCTCCCTTAGGGTAAACCACCTGCTTCCAACCCTCTCCACCTGTTTCCAGCTATAGTGTTTCCTTCTGCATAAAATATTGCCCTAGCCATCTTAATATTTAATGCGAAGCCCAGTGTGACCCAGCCAGGAGCCATGGTAGGAATATCTGATTTACTTAGAGGTTGTCAACAGGATTTTTCAATGCACCCCGGCTCTACTCTTTCCTCTCTGACACCCTACAGGAAAGCCCTGATGCAGAATGTTTTACAAAATCCAGCAGCAGAACCAATCATGTTGACACCGCCATTTTACCTTCATGTAAATTGTCTTTTGTAATGAGATGAGAAACCGTAGGGGGTGTTTAAGCACACTGTGAAATGTAATAAAATGAAGCCTAAATCTATGGCTTATGAAAACAGGAAAGCAGATGAGAGGAAGGGAGGGTGAAGAAGGAAAGGGTAGACCTCACCGAATTACCCAGTTGAGAGCTGAAAGCCTATCTCAGCAGGAAAGAAAAGTAGGGAGCCTTGTAAGCCCAAGACAAAAGTTCCTGCGTGCCATGCCTGCAGTATGCTATTCTTTAATAATGTCACAGCTTACAAAAAGAAGCCACAGCACGGACACTTCCTTAGTGAAGATAGAGATCTGCCCAGAATCAAGGTTAGTTTTATTGTTGAACAAAGGTTATGCCGCACCCCCAATTAGGTGAATGACCAGCAAGAAAAGGTTGAGTGTGCTCAGTGCTCCTCATTTGGGGCCTCTGGATGTCAGCTGCACGTGGGGTCCGTGCAGGGAAAAGGCTGTGTCTTCTCAGGGGAAAAAGAAGCTCAGGTTTCAGCAGTGCCCACAAAGCAGGGCTTGGTGTCAGGTGTTCTGCCCAACAAAGACCACCTTGGTCCCGGGCTTGGTGGCTCAGCCTATAATCCCAGCACTTTGGGAGGCTGAGGAGAGTGGATGGCCTGAGCCCGCGGGTTCGAGACTCGCCCAGGCAACTTGGCGAGACCTCGTCTCTACAATAAATCAAAAAGATTAGCCAGGCATGGTAGCGCGCACCTGTAGTTCCGGCTACCTGGAAGGCTGAGGCAGAAGGATCGCCGGAGCCCAGCAAGTCGAGGCTGCAGTGGTCAGGGGCGGCCACTGCACTCCAGTCTGGGCAACAGGGTGAGACTCCAACTCCGAAAACTAAAAAAAATTTTAAAAAAGACCACTTGGCTTTGCTAAGAAGAAGGATCAGTTGAGACTAAATGATGGAGAAAATCAGATAACACCATGAGGAAGGGGGTAAGATGATCTCTCTGCCACAGAGTAGAGGACACAAGTCAGGAATCATTCGAAAGGCAACAAAAGGAGGGTTACAGGAAGGCTGTAGGGACATTTATTTTGTTTGACTTTTTCTTATTGATTTTAGGAGTCCTTTGTATATTCAGGATATTAATATTTTACCTACTGTTACGTGGAAAATGTCTGTTAACTTTGCTTCTAATATATTTTGTTCGGAGCTTCTGATTTTTATAAATTTAAATGTATCCATCTTTCTCTTTATATATTTTGTGTATAGCTGAAGGTACGTTCTTCTTTGTCTTATTTTTTTGTAGTCTTACAATGATCCCTTTCATGTATCCGGAATTTATTTTTGTGGAAGTGTGAGGTTGGACCCCAACGTTGCCCCACAAATAGGAGCCAGCTTGCTCTCCTGTTATTGTTCCTTTCCTCACCGATGTGAGAAGCTACCGGGGCATCCATCAGAGACCAACTGATGCTGTGCTCCACTTCTGCACTCAGTTGCTAGTCCACTGAGACAGTCATCCATCTGCCTGTTCCTGTGCCAATTTCACACTGTTCCAATTACTATTATGCTATACTATGTTGGGATATATATCAGATAGAGCGAGTTCTCATCTAGTCACTTGCCATAAAAGTCACTTCTTAAAAGCATAAAATCATGGGTTTTCGTATTTTTACAATGTTGCACATCCATCACCACGATCTGATTCCAAAACATTTGTATCACCCCATATTCATTAGCAGTCACTAACCTTCCTCTCCGCCTCTGGCGACCACTAATCTACTTTTTGTCTCTGGTTTTGCCTCTTCTGATCGTCGCATATACAATATGTGACCCTCTGTGACTGTCTTCTTTGAGGTGGCATGATGTTTTCAAGTTCAGAACATCATTCCTTTTTATGGCTGAATCATCTTCTATTGTGTGGGTAAGACCGCATTTTACTTATCCACTAATCAGATGATGGGCATGTTAGTTGTTGCCACTTTTGGACTGTTATGAGTAGTACTGCCATGAACACTGGTGTATACATTTTTATGTGGACATATGTCTTCAGGTCTCTTAAATAGGCGCTACAAGCCTATACAGGGGTATGCCCCTGCAGATGAAATTGCTAGATCACATGGAGATCTATGTTTGACTTTCTGAAGTACTACCAAATTGTTTTTTCAAGCAGCAGAACCATTTTACATTTACAGGAGCAATATAGGAAGGTTCCAACTTCTCCCATTCTCACCAACACTTGTTATGCTTTCAATTCTAGCCATCACAGTAGTTATAAAACAGTATTTCCACGGGGTTTTGATTTTAATTACCTTAATGACTAATGATGTCGAGCATCTTTTCATGTGCTTATTGTCCACATTTTATATTGTCTTTGAAGACATAGCTATTCAACTCTTTTGTCTACCATCTTTTAAAATTGCATTGGGGTGTTTATATTGGTGATCTGGAAGAGTTCTGTATTTATCCCGAGTCATAGACCCTTATCAGATATATAGTCTGCAAATATTTTCTCCCACTGTGTGGTTATATTTTCACTTTCACGTTTGTATCTTCTGAAGCACAGAGTTTTTAATTTTGAAGAGGTCCAATCTATCTATTTTTTTCCTTTGGTTGCTGAGGCTTTAGGTGCCATATCTAAGAAACTGTTAGTTAACCTGAGGTCATGAAGACTCACACCTACTTTTTCTTTGAAGAGTTTTATAGTTTAGCTCCTACATGAGATCTCTAATCCATTTTGAATCCATTTTTGTATGTGGCTTGAAGCAGAAGTCCAACTTCATTCCTCTGCATGTGGACATTCATGTTGTTCTTGAATGATTTTTTGGAAACAACTATTCTTTCCTCATTTAATTGCCTTGGCAACCTTATTGATAGCATGCTTCTTTTGCTTCTGTAATTTTTCACGTTTCTAGGCTATTATTACCTATTTTCTCTTTCAGATGAATTTCGGAATCAAAATTTAATATCTACACTGATCCATTGAGATTTCAATTTGTTCAACATTGAAGGTATAAGGAAAATACCATTTGGGAAGAACTTGGATGTTCACAATAGAGTTTTTCTATTCGTGTGCATGATGTCTCTTCTTTTAATAAGGTCATTTTTTTTTTTTACTTCAGACTAGTTTTAGATTTTTTTCCTGTGGTTGTTGGAAAATTTTTATTAAGCTTACACATAGGTATTGTATAGGTTTACTGATATCACGAATAGGATCTTTTTTTCTATTATGTCATATATGTTTATTTTTCATGTAAAGAAAAACTTATCGGTTTAATAGTTGGTAGCATATCTTGAAGTCCCTATGTTGATCGTGTCAGTTGCAAACAATGAAAGTCTTATAGGCTCCCCTTCGGTTTCCCCCCCATAGAGCACTAAGGAGTGGGATATCTGGGGGTATCTGGAGGTCCAGGCAGGAGAGGAAATTGCTTGCAGAGAGACAGCGTGTGCAAAGGCAGTGGGTACTAGGGGAGAGGAGAGGCAGTTTCAGGGATGGGGTTAGCTCTACTTGACCGGAAGATTCAAGCACAGGAGCGCAGAACCTAGTTCTTCCCTGGGTGAGGCCGACCTCTTCAATGAATGTGTGGCTTGAGAAAGAATGGGGCGGGAGTCATCTGGTCAGCCACATGGATCACCCACCCAAGTCACAAGGGAGGACAGGCCTCGCTGCCAGCTCACCTCCTTAGCCTCTGTGTGAAATAAATTTGGGACAGCTCCAGGGTCCCCTCTCTCTGGATCACTGGATAAAGTGGAGGCATGATGCTAATTCTGTGACCATGAAAGTATCACGTAATTGGATCTTAAAGTCCCAGCGTGTTGGAGGATCCTGGTACCCCCGCAAAGGTCCCGGGCACATGGCAGGCATGCCAAAGTTGAAGAGTACTCAGAATGAAAGGTCTGCAGTTACTTTAGAGGTCTGAGAACCTAAGGGGACCACAATCTCTGGGTTTTGACTGTTACAGATCTTTGGGGTCCCTTATACTATTCCCCATTTTAGAGAAATGTGAAATGCTGCTCTATGCAGCTAAATACTGGTTTAAAAAAATTAAAAACCAAGTGGTGACACTAATCTTAATTACTGACCTCCGAAATTTCAAGTTTACTTATTCTCAATTTCAATTTATTTTTAATAGATTATTTATTATCAAATCAACTCTCAAATTAAATACACAGAAATATAAGCCCATTAAAGCATGAGCTTAGAACAAATTAGCATCAAATTAATTTCCAGTTCAACAACTCAGTTGAAGTGTTTCTTACAAAAGAGGATGGGGATAGATTTAGGTCTCATAAAGTATCCCTCAGTAAACAATGCCACTTTCTCGGTCATTACTAGAGTTAACAACTTCTCTGCTTTAATACCACTTTCAATTTACCTGCAGAGAGTTGACTCACTGGTCCGTTGCTGACTCTTGACAGTGGTTAACTTCTTAAGTGATTAAGTCTAATGACTAGAACTCCAAATTCAAGATTCTCCAGGATAGTTGTAACTTTATGACATTTTATTTTTTTCAATATGACTCACTAAATATTGAAACAAATGCAATGCAGTTTTTATAACATAGGTCATTGTACCGATGGCTTCGCAACTCAGTAAGACAGGTTGTTACACTGTGGGTCACGTGGTTGGTTGGGATATTGATTATGGGCAGCGAAGGAGATGCATTCTCCTGCTCAGGACACTCAG